AATAGTCTTTTTATATGCAAAACTATATTCATCTGAACCTCTAAATGTTGGATAGTGACGAAAATCTTGTACACTCAATAATTTATTACTGTGAAAGAGCTCGTGGAAGTGTATAGGCGAAGAAAACGTTAAAGCTTGTATATATGTATGAATATGGGTAGGCATGGTGAGTTGTCTTTCTATTCTCTTGGCAACAGCCACTCTTTTTGCATTACAAAAAAAAATAGGAAAATGTCTCGTAGTTCAAATTTTATGGCTCAAAAGTGGCTCAAAAGGCCAAAACATGCCATTTTTATGTTGTTCTGTACTCAAAACGACGTCGTTTTGACTATTTGAGCCACTTTTGAGCCACAAAATTTGAGCTACGTAGCATTGTCGTTTCTAAAAATAACGCAACAAATTGGTAGGTCTCGTTTGATAATATCACTTTTTAACGTAAGAGTCAAAAAGTTACTAAAAAAATAAAAAAACTAACAACTTATACCAAAAAATCAAAGGTAGCGTTTGGTAGACTTTTTTAAATATGATTTGAGAATAGAAGCTGTATTTTGAGTTTGTAAGTTTTGAAATTATGATTTGAGTGTAAAAAATTTGTTTGGTTATGAATTTTGGAAAGAGTTTTGAATTGAGTTTGAAATGAATGATGTAGCATATGATATTTAATTCAAAAACTTATAACTCACAACCAAACACACAATTCAAAATTCTATTCAAAACTCATAAAAAAAATTTAAAAAAATTCTAAAAATATTTTTTATTTAAAACATAAAAATAACAAGTGCAAAAAAATTAAAAAAAATAACGTACACTGTTCCGGTCAACCGACAGGGTTAACCAAAAGTTTCCGCCTGGAAAAGAGTTTTCAAAAGTAGGCATGAAATTAATTTTTGAAAAGTACAACTAAACACTAAGTGCAAACTAAGAGGTGGAATTACAATTCCAAAACTCTTCTAAACAAAGCCAAATATTCATTTTTCTCTTTACTTTTTGCACATTTTTTCATAAAAATCAAAAAATTATTCCATATATACTAATTTTTTTTACATCATATTTTAATTGAAAAGTAAAAAAGATACGAAAAAACATGTTTCTAAACGATAATGACTGTTGGTTATTAAAATTTATAGTCACATTATTATCTAGCGAATTTGGTTCTGCCATCGTCACCGCCATCTCATGCGGTTGCTTTCTTCATTCTCTGATTTGTGACTTATGTTATTGATTTTTTTTTTTGTTGTCATCCTGTGATTTTTTGTGGTTATAAAGGAGTGAGTGGTGGGGCTAGGTGGACATGGGTGTGTTGGGGTGGTGTTGGAAGGGCGGTGGAAGATCTGTTGGTGCTGGGGATAATGGTGGAAGAAAAAGAAGAGAAAAAAGAAATTATGAGACATACGTCTATTATATGTGTACATATACATAGTTAGATGTAATTATGGTAGGTAAATTGATGGATTTATCTCTCTTAGTGCCTTTAAATGAAAATGATTGGATAGTTTTAATTGGGCTAAATTTAAAGTGCAGGATTTAAATTTAGCCTTCATTTGTGTGACACCCCAACTATTTAATTAATACCACAATACCACAAAATAAATAAATAAGTAAGTAAGTAATATTAATAATAATAATGACAATAGTAACAATAGTGGTAATAATAGTAAAATAAATATAGAAATAAAATAATATATCTAATTTAATAGATATGTGTGCCCACAATATAACTTAATTAGGAATTATGGTATGCTATTAAGAGATGATGATGTAATTTTTTTATTACTTAGGACACAAGAATAATTAGTTAACAAAAGCTGAGAGGTGGCACTATTAGGATGAGTACAAATCTGATGATAAATCTAGAAGATTTAAAAGAGCATTGCTGGAGGCAGCCAAATTGTGTCACCTGTGCACGCAATGATTAAGGGAGAAATTGTGCTTGAGGCATCACCACTTCAGACATGTATATATAGGGGTTGAGATAGTAAGCGGAGGATCACAAAAATAGAAGCAGAAGCAAGGAGTGAGGTTCAAAAAATCGAAGGAAATAGAAAATAATAGGGGTAAATATTAAGGTGAGTTATATTATACTTTGAGTCACCATAATATCACCTTAATATAGTTTACGTATGTTTTGAGTTACCATAATTTATTTTACGCAATTTGTGTTTTATAAATTATAGTAATATTTCAATTGCGTTGATTATCTTCGAAACTCTATTTGTTTAAATTGAAACTCATGAATATGTTTGTTTAAATTTTAAAAATTATTTGACAATGATTTTATAAACAATTCTGTTTTGTAAGTACCACCACGGGAGTCCCATGCCTTGAGGGACTTAAATAACTATTGGCATCTGTTTTGCCATTTTGTGGTCCTTTGTTTGTCATGAATCCATTGACCTCTCTTCTGATTGTCACTCCAGTGACCTCTGTTCTGTTCTGTACCGTGGTTATGGCTAATTGCTTACATGATTTCCGCATTATGCTTCTGTTATTTAGAATTAATTATGCATTTCAGTTACCAAACTAATCTCTATTTTTAGTCAAATAATTATCCATAGTAATTTATGTACCCTCATGCTCATTGTATAATATATCCCACTCTGCCATATGCTTATTATTGTTACCCTTTCAAGTGATGAGAATTAGCAGGATCGAGATTGGAAATGAATAGTATTGTTTATTTTTATTTATTTACTATCTGTAATTTGTAATAAAATAAAGCTTAGATGACTATTTTTTTTTTAAATAAACTTTTCGTACCTATTTATTTTATTTAATTTATCCGCTTGCGCTACTACTACAGAAATTTTAATTATTTAATTTTATTGTTTTATTGTGACGCTGAACTTTTGGGTATTGGGTTTGAGTCGTGACAATTTGGTATCCCAATCTTGGTCTAAAATAGTCACAAAATGATAAAATAGGCTAAAAATTCAATAAAACAAAATGTCACATCAAAACCATAATCATTTTATTTTTTCTCTTACAAAAATCAAAAAAAGCCAAAAAGCTCATCCTAAAACGAAACTTTTTAACTCAGGCTAAAATAACCAAAAATTCAAAAAATCAACTCACATCCCAAACGAACCCTCAAATTTAAGGATGAAAATTTAAGACATAACACAATAACATAATTCGAATCGTACATGAAATTAGTGGTGATTAAAGTCGAATTGTGCAACACTGAGGCCATTAATTAGGATCTCTTAACTTTACTTACTTAACAACTATACATTTTGTTAGGTTTTATTATTGGCAATCCCGTTTGACAAGGATTTCTTTAAGAAGTTGATTTTCTTCTAAAATTAGGATTACTTTTGGATTTCTATAAGTAATTGGATTTCTTCCAAAACTAGGATTATTTTTAGATTTTCTATAAATAGTTGGTTTTCTCCCAAAACTATTTAATTCCTCCAGATCTTCTTTTTGGTTCTTAAGGTTTATATCTGGGAATATTTTGTTAGTTTTCTTTGATGTTTTATTGAGTATTCAACTCATGGTTTAAAGAGAGTACATCAAAGGTTTTGTTTACTATACACAAGAGAGAGAGAGAGAGAGAGAGAGAGAGTTGTTCTTCGGTGGATTCTGAAAAATTTGAGCCTGAAGCTTCGGTGGATTCTGGAGTGGCTCATCGTAAAGACAATTCCGAGGTGAAGACGAGGTTGGAAGAGGCACATAGAGGTTGGTTCAATTAGGCGTGGATTCGCTAGGTAATTGAGAGTATACTTGTGTAATTCCTTTAAATCTTCTTAGTGGATTGTTTTGTGGCTGTTGCCCGTGGTTTTTTAATCACAGTTGGAGGTGTCCAATTGTGATTTCTGATTTCAGACCAATAAGTTTGGTAGGCTCCATGTACAAGATCATAGCAAAACTGTTGGCAAACAGATTGAAATCCATAATGCCACATATTATTAGTGAGCCTCAGTCTGCATTTTTAAGCGGGAGAAATATTCTAGATGGAGTACTTGTTGCTAATGAGGTTGTAGAGGGTTGGAAGAAGGCCAAGAAGAAGGGTGTGCTCATTAAGCTGGATTTTGAGAAAGCATATGACTCTATTAATTGGGGTTTTCTGTTTGATATGTTCTCCAAGTTTGGGTTTGGAACTAAATGGATTAATTGGATGAAGGAGTGTGTTACAACTGCAAGGGTCTTAGTACTCGTCAATGGTTCTCCTACCGAAGAGTTTAGCCCTCAAAGGGGGCTAAGGCAAGGTGACCCTCTATCCCCTTTCCTGTTCAATTTAGTAGCTGAAGGCCTACACATGTTGTTGAGTAGAGCTTGTGAGCTAAACCTAATCAAAGGGGTAAAAGTAGGTTGTGAGGGGGTGGTGTTAACTCATTTACAGTTTGCGGATGATTCACTTTTATTCAGTGAAGCAGAGGTGGAGGAGGTGAGGAAATTGAAAAGGGTGCTAAGGTGCTTTGAAATCATGTCGGGTTTGAAGATAAATTTTCACAAGAGCGTGGTTTGTGGTGTGGGTGTTTCTGCGGAGATGATGAATGATATGGCTGCAATCCTAAATTGTAAAGTTAAATCTTTGCCACTCACTTATCTAGGGATGCCACTAGGAGCTAATCCAAGGAGGTTAGCTACTTGGAAACCAGTAGTGGAGAAAGTGAAAAGTAAACTAGCTGGGTGGAAGAGGAAGATACTGTCTTTTGCCGGAAGGTTCATACTGGTTAAATCAGTATCTTCAGCTTTGCCTATGTTTTATTTATCTTTGTTTAAAATGCCTGAAGGGGTTGCTAAAGAATTGGAGAAGCTTCAAGCTAATTTCTTATGGGGTGGTTCTGATTCGAAAAGGAAAAAATACCCCTACTACTGCTACTCGCATCCATACAACCAACCCCTTGGCCTCCCGATTTTTTTTTTTTTTAAACAAAAAAAGAAAAAAAGTTAAGAAGGACTTAACTAAAAAATAAATACATAAATCCCCACAAGATCAACCCAACAAAACACCCAAGCTGCACCTGATTACAACACCCACTCTGCCAAGCCCACACCTATGCTAACTCTATGCCCACGCTACTCCCAGCCAACCCTATTCCCACGCCACCCACACCTCTGCTGCAGCCACACCACGCCTCTGCTACGCCTATGCTGCTACAACACCCTATGCCCACGCCACCCACGCCTATGCTGCTGCCCACACCACGCCGATGCTGCTGCAAGCCAACATCTCTACCCCGGTACACCAACCTTCTAACCTATGAAACCATCTTTTAACTCCATGCTAGCAACCTCTTTTAACTCACACTGCCAGCCGAGCCACCCATACCCACTGCAGAACCAACACCCACTGCAGATCCAAACCCCAAGATCTTCTTCTTTCTCACACCCATGGCAGCTCCCCTGCTAACCAACCTGCTGCTACCAACCACGCCACCCATCTGAACACCTACCGAGCACTCAATGCATCGGAACACACCCAACGCCGAGACCCACTTCCACGCCAAAACGCTTTGCCAACTCCACTACTCCACTCCTATGGTCGAACACACCCAACGCCGACCTGGATCAACTTCGACACACATCCGAACACACAACCGAACACACCCATCCGAACACACACATCTGGCCAGCGTTCACCCCTCAAAACTCCCATACGCATAGAAGCGCACGAATGAAATCCTACACAGATCTATAACAACTACGACACTAGTGCAACCTCCCGACCAAGACACCGAAACACTTCATAGATCTGAACGGAGAACACCCCTCAAACTTCCACTCGGAAAGAAGCGCCCGAATGAACATCCTAACCAGATCTGGATCGTCCTCTTTGCCGACCCAGTGAACATCCAAAACATTCACCAAAGCACCCCAAAAAAACCAAGCAAAACTACGACCGCCCGCACAGCACCGGTGGGAGAATAAAGGGGGAATCAAGTTTATTAAGTGGAAACAAAACAAACACAAATGAAAGAGCTGGGCCAGCCGACCTCCATAGCCAAAAGCGGCGGCCGGCCGGCCCCAAAATGAGGTCACCTATCTTTTCTATTTCTTTTTTCAAATCTCTCCTTAAATCTTCCAACCAAACACAACATTAATGGATGTCTGGGTATCGTAGATTCAAAAATCTTTAAAATAGTCTTTTTATATGCAAAACTATATTCATCTGAACCTCTAAATGTTGGATAGTGACGAAAATCTTGTACACTCAGATAACTCTTTTTTAAGATGGTGAGTTATGATTTGAAACGCATATCAATAATAAGATTGTGATATTCTTCCTAACATATTTGTAATGAATAGGTTTTATCATATCAATGGTGAGTGTAATATTTTTTTTTAATTTAAGTTAATTATAAATTTATATTTGTATTTCACCTAATAATAATATCATAGTAGATGGTAGAAGGTTGGAGAATAATTTCTAAAAATAACACAACAAATTGGTAGGTCTCGTTTGATAATATCACTTTTTAGCGTAAGGGTCAAAAAGTCATTAAAAAAATCAAAAAACTAACAACTTATACCAAAAAATCAAAGGTAGCGTTTGGTAGAATTTTTTAAATATGATTTGAGAATAGAAACTGCATTTTGAGTTTGTAAGTTTTGAAATTATGATTTGAGTGTAGAAAATTTGTTTGGTTATGAATTTTGGAAAGAGTTTTGAATTGAGTTTGAAATGAATGATGTAGCATATGATATTTAATTCAAAAACTTATAACTCACAACCAAACACACAATTCAAAATTCTATTCAAAACTCATAAAAAAAATTTAAAAAAATTCTAAAAATATTTTTTATTTAAAACATAAAAATAACAAGTGCAAAAAAATTAAAAAAAATAACGTACACTGTTCCGGTCAACCGACAGGGTTAACCAAAAGTTTCCGCGTGGAAAAGAGTTCTCAAAAGTAGGCATGAAATTAATTTTTGAAAAGTACAACTAAACACTACGTGCAAACTAAGAGGTGGAATTACAATTCCAAAACTCTTCTAAACAAAGCCAAATATTCATTTTTCTCTTTACTTTTTGCACATCTTTTCATAAAAATCAAAAAGTTATTCCATATATACTAATTTTTTTTACATCATATTTTAATTAAAAAGTGAAAAAGATACGAAAAAACATGTTTCTAAACGATAATGACTGTTGGTTATTAAAATTTATAGTCACAATGTCTGGGATTATTTTTTTTCGGGGG